GGGGATGGGGTTGGGGAGGGGGTTGGGGAGGGGAGGGGAGCAAAGCACACAGCGGGGATCTCCGGAACGGTGCCCATCGGTGCGATGTGGCTCGGCAGGTTGCATCACCACGTTGTCTTGTACCACTCCTGAACTAACCGTACATCACCGTCTCGTGCAACTTAGCCGTGGTAGCAGCTGTCGTACAGGTGCATGCGTATCTGTTAGCAACTCCCAACTGACTAACGGACTTTTGCCCTTTCTTCCCCTTTTCCATTCTTCCGTTCTCTTTCTCTCTCTCATGTAACCGCCGCCGCCGCAGATCTTTATGTTGAACCTGCGCCAGGAGATTCTGGCCGCGGGCGAGTCGCCGGAAGTCCTCCAGGGGTTTCAGCAGTGGCTCACACACCGCAACAGCTCCCTCAGCGACGGGGACAGCTTCAACATCACCCAGGGGGCCCCCGCCCACCTCCCTGGAGACGACGGCATCAGGACCGCTGGACAGCGGGCGGGGGCACATAACGTCATCAAGGACAACTGCAGCGGCGGCGGCGGAATCCGCAGCCGCGGTGATGTCGTACATGGTGGCGGCTTGGGAACCGACGGGAGTGACGCCAGCGGCAGTGGGACCGGCGGCGGTGGCGGTACCCATATCGATCCCACGTCCGTAGATGCCTGCAGTGATGTGGGTGTGCGGCTGCCGGGCTCTGACGGCCCGCTTGGAGCGGCCCCGCACATCCTGTTGGGGCACAACGAGGACATGACCAACGACACGCTGGTGGGGGGTCCTGCTTGGTGGTGGGATGGGGCAGGGGGGGAGCGGAGGGGTGTGTGCTGAGGGGGGAGGGAGATGGACAGGGACACGAGATTCTTGCGGCTGGTGGTGGATCTAGGCAAGGATTGTGTAATCCGGTAACCTGTTGCAGCTGGGGAGAGGGAAGAGGACGACAGCAGCAGCAGCTCTAGCAGCGACAGAAGGAGCCGTAGCAGCCGTAGCAGCAAAGCGGCAATGCGAGCCGATTATCCTCATCAGGGACAAGGGCACCCATCGAACATCGGACGATGGGATCTGGCTGTCGGCTTCTTGACGAGGGTACTTGGGCAGCAAGGCTGGCAGGGCCTTACGGGTTTGAGCCGCTGGTCCCCTCTCCCCCACCCCCGGGTAATACTGCAACATGACTTCCTCCACACGCGGTGTGCCGCAGTCCGCTCACATACCCACTCCACCACCGCCACCACCGCCACCGCCACCGCCCTGCTGCCCATCCCCCACTCCCACCCCAGGGGCGAATGTACTTCATCCGCGCGACCATGCCGGTAAGGGAGGGCCGCTGCTGGAGGGGATGAGAGGGAGCCAGCTCAGCGCGGTGTCACACCATGGCAGCCACGCATAACCACCGCCTGCATACCCTGTCGAGTATCCACCTGCGTGCATTCGTGGCGCGTGGCCACTGGCACACCGGTGGGAGCGAGCACCAACACTGTGGACATCAAAGCAAAGCACCGTGCAGCTAGTGCATGCGTGCCCGTCCTCATTCCCCCATCCCTTCTCACTCTCCCCCTCAGACGACGGCCTTCCCCCCACGCGCTCCTTATCACCCC